CCCCCCTGGGCCTTCTGGGGGTCTTCGGAGTCTGCCTGGGGCTTCAGCCGCTTCTCCAGCCGGGCCTTGAGCTCGCCCATTGCTGCCTTCATGTCTGCTGCTTGCTGCTGCGCGTTGCTGGCGTGGCTGGCGAGAGTGGCTGCGAGTTGGAGGCCTCTGGAGGCCCGCTGCGCTGCTTCTGCTGCTTCTGCTGCTGCTGCTTCGTCTCCGGGCTTCTTGCTCAGCAGCAGCCGCTCCTGCTGCGCCTTCGAGGCCGCAGCAAGGTCCCGCGCGAGCTTCTCCAGCTTTTTGAGTTCCTGCTGCTTCTGGTCTGCTGCTGCGTAGAAGCTGGCGGCCTGCTGCTCCGCGCCGCGGAGCATTGCTGCTGCGCTGCTCTTTGCTGCTTCGACTTGCTGCAGCAGGCGCTGGAAGGCCCCCTGGCGGGAGCTGAGGGAGTACTGGGCCTCGAGGGCGGACCACTCGACGTGACCACTGGTCACCTTGTTCTGGGCCTCCTCGATGTCCTCCAGGAGCCGCTTCCTGAACTGTTCTGCTGCGGCCTGCGCAGCAGCAAGCTGCTCCTCGTAAGACTTGATCTTGGCGCCGAGCGCAGCTTGCTGCTGCGCTGCGCTGCGGCTCCAGGCCTCCGCGTCGCCGGCAGCAGCTTGGAGCTGGTCGAGGCGCTGGGCAATGAGCCGCGCCAGGTCCCCGCGGGCAGCAGCAGCAGCCTCCCGCGCTGCTGCAGCCTTTTGGGCCAGCGTGGCCTCGAGCTGCTGCCGGCGCGCCCGCAGCGCCTGCGCTGCTGCTGCTATCCGGGCCTTGAGCTTTTCGCTCTTTGCTGCAGCAGCAGTGGACTCGAGGGCCTGGGCGCGGAGGGTCAAGTCCGCGAGGTAGCCGTGGCAGGCCTCTTCGACGTCCTGGACCTTGAGGGTCTCGTCTTCGGCGAGCAGCAGCAGCTGCTGCAGCGCCGCGGCGTCGCCGCGCGCGTCCGCTGCTGCAGCAGCAGCCAGCAGCTGCTTCGCCGCGGCCCCCGGGGCCCCCAGCTGCCCCAAAACCGCCCCGAACTTCGCCTCCGTCTGCGCAGCAGCCTCCACTATCCCCAGCGCAGCCTTGTTGTCCCGCAGCTCCTCCATGCCCTCCTGAAAGGCCTTGCTGAGGGCCCCCAGTTGCTCCTCGGCCCGCCGCATGTGCTGCACTGCGGACTGCAGCTCCGCCCCGCTGCTGGCCACGTGGTGTCCGAACTGCAGCTCCAGAGTCCGCAGCTTCTTCCGCGTCCCATTCGCCTCCGGCCCCATCGCCTCCAGCATGTGGAAGGCCACGAACAGCAGCCGCCCCGCCTCCGCGGTTTCCTTCACCACCGCCGCGTCCGCCTGCTGCATCTGCC